ATTATGCTGAACAGAAGGTAGAGAAAAACAACCATCACCATCCTCACAACCTCAGGTCTCTGAGATAGAAAATTACTGCCTCCTAAGAAATAAACAGAATGTTCAGCAGAACATTCCAAGGTACAGGCTTGCAGTTTCACAGCCAGTTAAAGAATAGCTCAGGGCTATCTCTCCTACTGCAGTTAAACAGCCAGCTAAAGAGTAGCTAACCAGCTCAGGGCTATCTCTCCTGCTACAATTTACAGCCAATTATAGGTTAGCTAAACAACTTAGCGCATTCCTTCTAATGACCTTCTCACTCTGCCTAGTGCCAGTGCCCATGCCCTGGCTATATGCAAACCCTGCTCACATCCTGCCCACGGTCCTACATAAGCCTCCCCTGAGAAAATAAAAAATTTGTCAGCTTGATCAGAATTCTGTCTTGCTGTCCTCCTTTGTATACCTTTATTTTCCATTCCCTCCTAGGTGTTCACCCATTTGTTGTTGACTGCCCCACAGGTCGGGGCAACGCTTGAGAAGATGGGAATATTAATTATTCTGATTTCACCATCAGACATTATATACATATATGAATTATCCCATTGTACCCTATAAATAGGAACAACTATATCTGTTTAAAAAAAAATAGGAGAGGAGGCAGGGATCTTCATTCTCAGATCCTAGCACAGAACTCATAAAGTCTTCGAGTTTCCTCAGAAACAGATACAATATGAACATGTTTTAACATTTGTCCTTCATTCTTTGCCCTATAATACATGAGATCCTAAGAGTAAAAGAGTCTTGGGATCCTTAAGTATTCAAACTTGCCTGCTGATAAGATGATTGTGAGTAAGCTTCCTAGGTAGCATTGAGATAGGGCTGATCACCAGCAAAAAAATAGATAAGTAAAACCAAACCAAACCAAATCAAACCAACCAAAAAACAACAACAAAAAACAAGACATGCTCAGAGAGCTGGAACTTTGACCCACATCCTCTAACTTTCAGGGACAGCAATGGGAATTGGAGATCAACTTAATCACCAGTGATCAGATATTTAATTAATCAAGTCTATATAACTCAACTTCTTTAATGAATTTAATTAATAGAAACTGGAAAGTTTCTTGATTGGTGAATACATTCATGTACTCGAATGGTAGGGCACTGCAACTCCTTGGGGACCATATCTCCTATATCTTGTACCCTTTTACACATTGCCCCAAGTACCTCCTCATTTACCTTGTCACTCACAGACTTTAGCATTTTTATTATAAACTAGTAACATTAAATAGTTTCCATGGCTTCTTCTGAATATTTATAACAAATTCCTAAACATGAAAATGGTTGTAGAAACCTGTGATTAGTAGCTAAGTCAGAGGGAAGTGTTAGTAACCTGAAGATTCACCATGTGTGATTGTCATCTGCACTAGAGGCTCTAGAGGTAGTCTTGTGACACTGAGCCCTTAAAATGTGGAGCCTTTACTAGCTTTGGCTGGTCATGTATTGGAATTAAATTGTAGGCCATGTACATGATGTTTTCAGAGAATTGGGAAAACTACTTGATTTCAAAAAAGACAGGGTGTATCAACTGACTACTATCTAGGATGGAAGCAAAGGAGCAAAATACAAAGAAGATAGAAAATGGTGTGCAGAATAAAAACTATGCAGTTTTTTTTTTAAATTAAGTAATTTCTATTGGACCCAAAAGACAAGTATCTCAGATGCAGGACAGCAGAAAAAGGGAGTCTCACAAGAGTCAGGAATATGTATTTCTAAATAGGAAGGACTTAGCTCAGACCAGGACTTAACCTTTTACAGGTTAAGATTAGAGAATCCCAATGAGAAATTCTACGTAAAAAAAAATAAAAAAGCAAAAAGAACCCTGGATACTCTCCTTTCACTCTATCTTTCACTCTATGTCTCCTATCTTCATCCCTAGATTTCGCTGGATGACATTAACTTCTCTAGTCTCTCCCTGGCCAGCTGGAACCTTGGAGGAAAAGGCAGGTATCATGTTCACTCTTTTCTTCTCAATTTTTAGCTGCCTTGGGGCATCTCTAGAAAGTAGAGACTAAGAAGCCACATCATGGGAAACAGTGTGGCCTCTGTTACTGCACTGTTTCCACTCTCTGGATTCCTAGAGCCAATTCTATCTATAAGATCATCACTCCCACCCACCCATATACACAGAGTGGGAAGCGAGAGAGGGTGAGGGATTTCAAATACAGCATGGGACAGGAATCTAGAGATGGAATAAGATGGAATTCAGAAGACAGGAAGGAGTGATGGAATCTTAGGTATTTCCAGCACTATCATCTAGTCTGAACAACTACCATCCAAAGGATGCCAGTTCTCAGCTACTACACACTTCAGTAGCAACTTCTGTTTTTTTTTCCACAGGAATCCATCCTACAGGATGACTAGTCCTTGATTCTTGAGATCCTGACCTGTCAAACATACCTTTGATTGACTGAGGGATGATTTCTTCCATCTAGTCAATACTATCATTCTGGATACATAAAACATAGTTTTCAAGCTAACAGAGCATGGACACCAGCTCAATCACCTTAACCTCCTGCCCCTTGTTCTGTCTACCCCACTTGTCAGCTATATGTCTTTCCTTCTCCATGACCAGCAAGATTACATAGCATCTGCAATAGCTCTGAAGCATGGGGAACAGAATATTCTGCCTCTGGAGTTGAGCTCCTGTGCAGAAGAATCGGAACCTCCCACCCTGAAGACACAATTGGAAGGCTAGCTGGATTAGTAATCAAAGCTTCTGGCCTTCAGTCTAGGGGCTTGCTCTCTGAGAGTGTTTAGCCAAAAAAAAAAAAAAAAAAAAAAAAAAGAAAAAAGAAAAAAGAAAAAAGAAAAGTTTCCCTAAGGAGTCAGATCATGAAATGATTCTTTAACAGTAATTTGTATAATATTCAAACATATGAAAATACAGAAATCTCAAAATATATCAGTAAAACAAACATTTAATGTCTAGTTCCTATCATGAGGATTATTCCTGCTATGTTATATGGTTATAAAGGGAGACTAAATTGACACTTTGTCCTAATTCTCAATTCCATAAAATAACATCAAGTGGAAAATGTTTCACTGCCAGGTACATTCTAGAATGTATGGGCAAAATCAACACAGGTTACTAGATACTATTTTAGTACATGGGATTCCATAGTCTATTGATTGAGCTACTTTTCATCCTTACTTAGGCTGATACTGACTTGTATATACAATACTTACTACATATAGAAAGATTTGTCCAATAGTATAGGTAACATTAAATGTTCCAAGGTATCACATGTAAGATGGTAATCAGCTTTCATATAATTCTGTGATATTATCCTATCATTCAATTCCCTGTGCATATGAAGTCCAATATATATTATTTATATATTTATCTTGTATATATGGCATACATACATATCCCCTTTGACTGTTTCTTGATCGTAGCAGTTGTTCTTTGGTTGTTAAAATTCTTGCACCGTGCTCCCATTTTATCTGTTTGAAAATATATAGCATTCTCAGACCAAAGAAAATAAATGTTCTTCTTCTGTCTAAAAATAATGAAACATTTTATATTTCCCACAACTTGTACTCTATCTCCAAACCAAGTTTATTCCTGACGTATGAAATAATCCTGTAGGAAGGCTTGCTGTAGTCTGTGGCATTTTTGTTGTGGCAAAATACACAGAACATAAAACTTACCAGTTTAATCAATTTAAAGTGTACAATTCAGTGACATAAGTAAATTTCCAAGGTTGTTGCAACCATCACCAATGTCTAGTTGCAGAACTTTGTTGCCACCTAAAAAGGAAATGTTATTGACTGTTTGAGTGTAATAATTACATGAGAAATTTCACTTTTTTGTACTGTCAACAGCCCAATTCACACTTAGTTATCTTGGTTCTGAAGTCTCATTCATGTATAACTTTTCAAAACCACTTTATCTCTGAATATTTTAACATTTTAGGTTAATCATTTATACAAACATACCCTTTTCCCAGCATGCTCACCTGTAACTAGAGTCACTAGATGGGAATGTATCAACTTTTATAAGTTTTGCTAAATTTTGTATTTCTCCAATGCATGTCTCTAAAAATTTAACTTTGTGTATTTTAATCCAGAAAAGGGCTATATGCAGCTGCTTAGGTCACAATGAGCTCAGACATTTTATTTATACACAAATTTTAAACTAATACCTAATTTTTCAAATTAGTAATACCTAATTTTTCAAATATGATTGCCAAATTCTTCTCTAGTTTGCTATATGTAAAATTACTGTTTCATGTCAATGAATCAATCCATATATAGTTATTTCAATGGTTATTACTTTTCTTGGACTATCATCATACAGGAAATATTACTTCTGAGACTATTTAATAATACACAGTGGCTCTCAACCTTCCTAATGCTGCGGCCCTTTAGTACCGTTCTTCATGATATGGTGACCCCCCAACCATAAAATTATTTATGTTGCTCCTTCAAACTGTATTTTGCTACTGTTACGAACTGCAATTTATTTATTTATTTATTTTGGCTAAAGAGGTTTGTCAAAGGGGTCAAAACCCACAAATTGAGAACCACTGAATTAGAGTCTTTTTTCATTCACCATCTAGGTTGTATTAAAGTAAAAAAAAACAAAAAAAAAAACTATACTTTGAATCTTTAACTGCAGTTTGGAGTTGGCAGTCCCTCAAAACTTACCTCATTCTAATTTTTAAACTGTATTCCACTCTAAACTCCTCTTACTTATTTCATCCATGTTACTGGACCATATTTTCCTACCACACCTTTTCTTCGTATCACCATGGTTCGTTTCCAAGCATGCTTATTGCTCAGTGACTATTTAAGTCCAACTTCTCTCAGGTATTTCTTGAGTAACAAAGCCCACAGAAATCTCCCTTCCTAAAATAGGATTTTCTAGTAAGCATGTGTTTGTTCTAATACTAAACATCTATTTTTGAATGCATATAATGTATCTGCACCTGGTTCTTTTAAAGTGAAGAAGGGTCATTTATGCCAATTTCAACATTGAACTTTATTGAAAACACAGACTCAAGTAGAGAACCACATGTTTAAACAACAAATAGCAGGATAGCTTACTCATATGTCTTGGTTCATTGGGAACTCAACACTAAAAATATCACAAGCTGGACAGTAAGACAAATATCAACAAATGTGTTTTCAGTTCTGATATTCATTTTGGCATCCACAAATGATCCAGCTCACAAGAGTTTGACAAGTTAGCATTAGCATTAAAATATAAGTTACAACACGGAACCAGACTGTGAACACCAAAGCACTATTTGGGGCTCTTTGGGAACATAAGGCTGATCAGTGGAGGGTGGTTAATCACATGAACTTTACTGTCCCTCCTCAGGGTCATTCTGATTGTCTATTTGGATTTGCAGCCGTTTAGCTAGCTCTTCAAACTCATGGAATGCAGAAACAAGTGGCTCAAGACAAAAATCATCATCAATTAAAGACATTGCTCCACTTTTCACAATATTACTGATATTCTGAAACATTTTAATAACAATCTGAATGTTATCATTTGTTTCCTCTATGTTAAAGAGACCCACAAATATTGACAGAGCTTTGGCACTGAATAGCTTTTTTGCCACCATAGGATTGTCAGACAAGTTCAATAGCATTTTCAGAACATGAAACTTTGTTCTTGCACTGCCTGTGGTCAATAAGGCAAGAAAGCCGGACACATAATTGGCAATCAGTGTGTGATAATCGGTAGTTATAGTGAGGTGCCTAAGCATCCTTATTCCAGTTAGCTGCTCGAGTGAATCCACACCATGTGCAAGGGTTTCCTCACATACTTGGCATATAAATGTCTCAATCATGTTTAGATTGGGATAAGGTGGAGCCATGTGGATCATATTTTCCAAGAAATCAGTCCTAACTCGAGAAGAAGGATAATTCATCAGGGTTTCAATAAGTGAGACAACACCAGAATCACGAATGAAATCTCGGGTAAACTGAGAAGCAGTTCTCATACCCATTGCAATTTTAGATATTTCATGGACAAAAGGATCGCGAATTTTGTCCATTAGCAGAAGGAGCTCCTCAAACTCTGCAGAGCTAATTTTGAGCTCACACTGTATGCAGCTGCAAGACCAGTTGTTAGGGTCTGCACTTTCCTTGGCCTTAAGATGCTCTCTAATTTCCTGGACTGATCGGTAAGAGGGGTCATACTGAAATGGGAACTCGGGTTCACGAAGATTAGGCTGAACCACTGATTCCTGCTGCTCCCCCTCTGCACCAAGTTCCACATTCTTAGCTTTTGCCTGGGCATTTTCAGAATCCTCCTCAGGGATTCTAAAGGGGTTTGTGGAAGGGAAGCCAAACCCATGGCAAGGACCAGGTTTGAATTCAACAGTAACCTCGTCCCAGGTTTTGGGCCTGGATGACACATTAAGCTCTTCCTCAGCAGAATCTCTGAACCTGCTCTTAGCCTTGTACACAGGGGTGGGATTTAGGTCAAAGCAGGCCTCATCTCTATCCCAGAACCAAGACCCAAATATGGCCTCTTCCTCAGACTCAGGCCTGACCTCATCTCTGGCCACAGCCCCCAAAGTGGGTTTTTCTTCGGTCCAGAACAAGGATCCACCAATGGCTCCCTCTTCAGCTCCTGGTTCAGACTCACAGATTGCTGAAGCTCCAGCCTCCAAACTAGTCTCTTGTTCTGCCCAGAACCATGACCCAATAATGATTTCCTCATCAAACCTGGACTCTTGTTTGACCCTGTCACTGCTTTTAACATCTTTTTGTTTTCTGTTTTTCAAGATGTTATTAGACTCTTCCTTGTCTCTGCGCCTGAATCTACTAGCACCTTCTCCAGGCAAAAACCAGGACTCTTTATAGAACTCATCTTCAGATTCAGATTCATAGTAATCCTCTCTTTTTGTCCTGATCTTAGGTCTCACATTTGCCTCTTCCCTGCCTCTGGGCCTGAACAACTCATTGGTATTTTCTCCAGCCCAAAAGCAGAATGGGTTGCCTGCCTCATCCTCAGACCCAGACCAAGAATCAATATAGGGCTCTTGTTTGGATCTGGGCCGGGACCTGGCATTAGTCTGATGTTTAGCCCTGTGCCTGGACCTAGTATTTGCCTCTTCCCTGGGCCATGATCTGATACTGGTCTCCTCTCCCGTCCAGAAAGAAGACATTGTAGAGGATTCATCTGCTGACCAAAAACCAGACTCATTAGAGGTCTCCTCCCTGGCTCTGGGCCTGGGATAGCACCAAGAACCCATATTAGTCTCTTCTCCTGGTCCAAACCAGGGCTGGATTCCAGCCAGACCCGGGGTCCCAGGAAAGGTTTCATTGTCCACACTGACCAGTTCTCTATCCATAGACAAACTCTTAGATTTACTAACAGATGAGGAATGAGCATTGACCAGTGGCCATGTGACAGAATTAGATAAGTGTGCTCCCTCAGCCTGTGGCATTGCCTCAGCCCCAAACTCATTCGGGGCCCATGACTGGGCATCATCCTTAGGCCTTGCTCCTGGGATTGGCTTGGCCTCAGTCTTAGGACGAGCACCACCTACTGCCCTGGAGTCAGTTTTGGGCCTGGCACCAGTCATTACCTGGGCCTCAGATCTAGGCCTTGCTCCAGTCATTGCCTGCACATTATTTTTAGGTCTTGTTCCAGACACTGACTGGGTTTCAGTTTTAGACCTTGACCGAGAAGATTTAGTTTCAGTTTTGGGCCTTGCTCCACTTGTTGCTGGAGCCGGGGGCCTGACTTTGGGTCTGACCACCAGAGGGACTTCACTTTCTCCATCAGCCCTACCCATAACCTCTTCCTGAGGCTTCTTATCAGGTTTGGGCTGAGAACCAGTCTCAACTTCTGCCCCAGTCATGGTACAAAATAGAGAGAAGGCTCAGTTAAGAATGCCTACCAAAGCCTCAGTCTCAACAAGATCTGTCACAGTAATGTATCTTCACACTCTGATCTTTAGATGATCCAAGAAACAGAGTGAGTACCAGGAGAAAACCACCAATCTGGAACCAATAAGATTCCTACCCAAGCACAATCTCAGTCAATAACAGATAGAGTGCAGAAGAGGTGAGGCCAAGCCGGAGGAAGATGGACAAATCCTAGGTGGGTGCAGATCTCTTGACTGCACTGGTCAGCAGCAACCCAGCAACACCAAGCAGCTACTGCAGGTGATCTAGGAAGAGAAAAAAAGAGGAAATCAGTCTCATACAATTCTGCTGCCTTCCACAGCAGCCACACAGAGACACTGATGCATAAGTCTGAGTGGAAGAGCTCAGCTATGAGAAAACCTCTACGTTCCTTTTGCCTGAAGGAAAACAGGTGCAGGCTTCAGGAGACAGCATGTACACACACTGGAAATGGAGAAAGAGGGGGATCCCCCAAATCTCACAACAGTCATTCTGAGTGATCCCTACTACCCCATCTAAAAGGGAAACCTTCCCATACCAACCTTCGCCGATGTGGTGCGATTCCCTCCTTTTTATTTGTTCAAGTGATGTTAAGACCAACAGCTGACGATGGGGGAGTCCTACAAATGCATATAAGAAAAGGAGACTTAGTGCCTGCTTCATAGGCACACATCCCCAACCCCAAACAAACAACAAGAAATCTACGCCTGCTTTCTGTCTAACGTTTCTGTCCCCAGTCCCAGCTCTTGTCCTGTGGATCACAGACTAACTCATATCTATCTCCGTGAAAGAGAATAAAGGATGTTTTGGTAGTGAGCAAACTTAGGTGACAGTAAAGACATCGGCCACCCTCTAGGGTTAGACCAGTCTGCATTTGACACCTCAGTACCTGGCTCCAGAGATCTGAGACAGTCTCCTCGATGCCTTCCTTCCTTTCTCTCAGAAATGACCAGCCTTAAAGCAGGCCTGTGGACAAAGAGATGAAAATGTAATACAATTGGGAAATGATGGCAGCAGCTGTGGGCAACTTTGGGGACAGTGAAGACATCATGCCCCTCTAGGGTTAGAGCAGTCTGCAGTTGCTTCCTCAGTACCTGGCTCCTGCACTGCTCCCGATTCTCACCAACCTCCAGAGATCTGAGACAGTCTCTTCGATGTCTTCTTTCCTCTCTCAGAAATGACCAGCCTTAAAGCAGGCCTGTGGACAAAGAGATGAATATGCAAGACAATCGGGAAATGATGGCAGCAGCTGTGGGCAAGTTTAGGGGACAGTGAAGACCATCATGCCCCCTCTAGGGTTAGAGCAGTCTGCATTTGCCACCTCAGTACCTGGCTTCTGCACTGCTCCCGATTCTCACCAACCTCCAGAGATCTGAGACAGTCTCCTTGATGTCTTCTTTCCTCTCTCAGAAATGACCAGCCTTAAAGCAGGCCTGTGGACAAAGAGATGAATATGCAAGACAATCGGGAAATGATGGCAGCAGCTGTGGGCAAGTTTGGGGACAGTGAAGACCATCATGCCCCCTCTAGGGTTAGAGCAGTCTGCATTTGCCACCTCAGTACCTGGCTTCTGCACTGCTCCCGATTCTCACCAACCTCCAGAGATCTGAGACAGTCTCCTTGATGTCTTTTTTCCTCTCTCAGAAATGACCAGCCTTAAAGCAGGCCTGTGGACAAAGAGATGAATATGCAAGACAATCGGGAAATGATGGCAGCAACTGATCTTGTTGAGAACACTATCAAGGATAAGAATCAGATGTGTCTTTTGGCATTTAGGGTCCTACTGCTGGAACATTCTAGAATCCTTTTGCCTGCCTGCAGGGTTGCTGAAGTAACACCCCCTCCGTGATGTCATACTTATTAGTCCAGCTGCAATTCTGATGATTCACCACTAGGTGGCCATATTTCCTTGCCTTGCGCAGCAAAAAAAAAAAAAAAAAAAAAATGGGGGAAGGGTGCAGCACATTCTAGAAAGCAGGTTTTGTATTGATCCTTGGATTTATGACTCCGTCATCATCCCCAAACCATCTTTTCGGACCCCAAATTTGGGAGGGAGGGGAAGGACACAGGGGGAAATACCTGCAAGGCTGTGAAAAATGGGATTAGAAGACACTAATGCATGCTCCACTTGTTCAGATTTGTCACCCCCCCCCTTTCCTCATCTCCACTCACTGTCTGGTGCCCACTCCCTTTGCCACACACCTCCAAAAATCCACGCCATTTTCCTGTTCCTCTTTCCTCAAGACTCTGTTCTACAGATGCTCACTGTGGCCTGTCAGAATACGCCAGACCTACCACGCAGACAGGAGACTTTGACATCAAGCAGGAGCCTGTGGGAAGGGACAGCACCCAGGACGCAGGGGACAAGGGCCCCTCTCCGGAAACAGATCAGAGCCCTAGTAGCCTAGGCGACTCTCCAACCACCAGCTGAGCTGTCCCCAAAGCTGGACACCCTCCCCGCACCACACCCGCACCTCACGGTGGGCTCCTGCCCCCCCCTCCCAAACCGCCATTTCTGCTGCAGCCGCCTCCCCTGGATCCGTGGGCTCCCAGGGCGCCCCTCACACTACTGCACCGTTATTTCCCCTGCATTCGCCTACCCCATAACCCTAGCGGGGCCCCAGACACCAAGGAGGGCGGGGCAGGAGCCCCGGGAAGCCAACTGCCAGGCTGTCTGCTCTCTCAGCCTCCAGACCCTCACACCCAGCGGCTCAGCCGCCCCGTGCCCGAGACCCGATCCGGGATTCCGCTTGCTCCTCACCGCCCAGGATCTCCGGGAACCGCGCACCACTCCAGGGAGCCCCCGCGCCCCGATCGCCCCCGCCGCGCTCACTGTCAGGGCCGGGCGGTGGTCCGCGGTGCGCGGCCGCCCCGAGCCCTCGACACGACCCCACTTGCCTGGCCAGGCGCACGGCCCCAGGCCCCGGGCTGCCCCCGCGTCCCCTGTCGGCTCCTGGCTGGGCTCGGTCCTCTGCAGCAGCTCGTCTCACTGGGCTCTCGCAGCTTTGCGCGCCAGTGCAATGGCAGAGACGCGTCCCGCCCCCACGCCTCTGCACCAAACGGGCAGGGGCTGCTGCGCAGGATGCGGCAGGCACAGCTCGCCTCGAGGGTGTCGGGAAGGGGGCGGAGGGATACGCGCACGGGGCTCGACGCCCCCTCCCGGGCCCACCGTAGTTCCGACTCGGGGTGGGCGGGGCCGGAGGCAGCCCCACTCCGCTCGGAGGGAGGGGTGGGTAGCCCCCGTGGGCGTCTGCAGACCCCCTGCTCACCCTAACCAGGGACCACCCACCACTGGGGTCACTACAGTGTGTGGGATGGCCGAGAGTTAGGGTCTCTGAGGGCTTTGGGGAGGAGAGGACTACAGGGTGGAGGGGGGACTACATGGAAGATGTCTGGAGTTGGGGAACAGCGGATGGATACTGAGTGGGCCCCTAGGTACATCTGCACTTCAGAACGAGGCTGGACAGTGCCTACTCATCCTAGCACTCATTCTCTACTCTCCCTCCCAATTTCCTCCATTTTCTGACGCCAGTGGAAGGGGAGGGGGGCTGTTAATACTGAAGCCTGAGAGGGGACAGGTGACCTAGCAACAGCCAGCCCGTAGGTTCTCCCAGGTTTTCTTTCACTGGTTCCATCAACCATGAAAAGGAGGAGGGAACACCTGAGGTGGGGGCTTCCATTACATCCTCCACCACTGCCCCTATTCCAAAGGGGAAGCATGGAAAGAGAGAGGGAGGGGGAGGGAGGGAGAGAGGGAGGGTGAGAGAAAGACAGAGACAGAATTCTCATTCTAAATAGTAATACCTTCGGCTTATTTATTGACTGTCCCCACAATTGCCCTTTCCCTGTCTGTATTGGCAGGGTGTCAGAGAGTCCTGACTCTCAGCTGTCCCACTGCCAATTGTTGGGATCCGGTTTGGGCCTGTTTACTTTCCTTTCCAATGGTACTCTGAAATCTCTTGCCAATTATGGCCAACCTCTCATATTTGACAGTGTTCAAATGCAGGAGGAATTAACTAGATTAGATCTCAACCACATCTAACTGCCTAGATTCACTGTTATGTGTCAGGGAAAGGACCCTCCATTTTATCTTTCCCTTAAGATGCACATCTGGCTGGCCGATTTTGAATCTTTCCTTTTGCCTCACCCACAAAATTTCCTCTGCTGTTCATAGTCTCTTTTCTGGGTTTGTTTTGTGGGAAAAACAGCAGGGACATTAAGCACACATTCAAACCCTTGCTTGGCTTTGCCCATTTAGAAATTCATTTATGCACCTACCCAGTGTTTAGCAAAAGAACAACCTAAGTCCATACCCAGGATATGTGAAATATATGTTATTCCGCCAAGGAGAATTGAAGTTCCGGGTGGAAGTATGATTATTAATTCTGGAATTAACACACAATTATGCTGGATTATTCTACCCAATATAACTGCAAGAGTGCTTAGGTGAAGTATGAAGTTCTGTGTTTGAAGAAAGCAGCATAGGGGAAGCAAAGCTGGAAAGTCCATTGTTAAAGCCTTGAGGATGGCAGGAATACGGTAGCCTCAGAATGCAGAAAACCAAAGAAAATTCTCCCCTAGCAAATGTTATCAGGAAAGGAACCTCAGAACACCTTTACATTATTGTCAGCTTATAAAATAATTTCTAATGTCCATAACTGTAAAATAATAGATATGCATTATCTTAAGCAATACATTTGTGTTTTTAAAAAATTAATTTTTATTTAAATTAAAAAACAATCTTATTTCACATACTAATCTCAGTTCCCTCTCCCTCTCACCCTTCTTTTAACTCCCCCCACTAACTCCTCATCCCATGCCCATCCACTCCTCAGAGAGGGTGAGGCCTCCCATGGGTGATCATCAAACTCTGTCACATCATTTGGGGCAGGACCTAATCCCTCCACTGTGTGTCTAGGCTAAGAGAGCATCCCTCCATAGTGAATGGATTCTGAAAGTCCATTTGTGCACTAGGGATAAATACTGGTTTTACTGCCAGAGGTCACATAGACTGCACAGGCCCACAACTGACACCCATGTTCAGGGGGCCTGGTTCAGTCTTATGCTGGTTCCCCAACTATCAGACTGGGGTACATGAACTTCCACTTGCTCAGGTTAGCTGTTCCTGTGGGTTTCCCCAGCATGGTCTTGACCCCTTTGCACATCACTCCTCCCTCTCTCCAACTGGCTCAGTGTGTAGCTGTGGATCTCTGCTTCTGTTTCCATCAGCTACTGTGTGAGGGCTCTAGGATGGCATATAAGTTAGTCATCAATCTTCTTATATGGGAAGGGCAGTTAAGGTAGCCTCTCCACTATTGCTTAGATTCTTGGTGGGGATCATTGCTGTGGATCCCTTGAGATTTCCCTGTGCCAGATTTCTCATTAAACCCATAAGGGCTCCCTCTGTTAAGGTATCTTTTGTCTGGCTCTCCTTCTCTGTTCTTCCCCCAACTTGACCTTCCCGATCACTCATGTTCTCCTCCCCCATCCCCCACCCCATCCCCATCCCCTTCTCTCCTCTTTCTTCTAACTCCCTCTCCCCTCCCTCCATGCTTCCAATTTGCTCAGGAAATATTTTCCCTTTTCTCTTTTCTGGGGGTCCATGTATGTCTCTCTTAGGTTCCTCCTTGTCTCCTAGCTTCTCTTAGGTTGTGGATTGTAGGGTGGTTATCCTTTGCTTTTAGTCTGTTACTCACTTATAAGTGAGTACATGATATGCTTTTCTTTCTGTGTCTGGGTTATCTCACTCAGGATGGTTTCTTCTAGTTCCATCCATTTTCCTTCAAATTTCCAAATTTCGTTGTTTTTCTTTCTTTTTTTCCCCACTGAGTAGTACTCCATTGTGTAAATGTACCGTATTTTCTTTATATATTCTTTGGTTGAGGGTTGCTTCCAGGTTCTGGCTATTACAAATAGTGCTGCAATGAACATAGTTGAACAGATGTCCTTGTGGTATGAATGTGCATCTTTTGAATATGCCTAAGAGTGGAATTGCTGGATCTTGAGGTAGACTGATTCTCACTTTCCTGAGGAACTGCCACACTGATTTCCAAAGTGGCTGTACAAGTTTGCATTTCCACCAGCAATGGAGGAGTGTTCTCCTTTCTCCACATCCTCTCCAGCACAAACTGTCATTGGTGTTTTTGATTTTAGCCATTCTGACAAGTGTAAGTTGGTAACTCAGAACTGTAATACATTTGCCTCTGTCTAGTCTCTGTTCCACCTCTGTATGTTCAAGGAACCCTGGATGGGAAAAACTTTTCTAAAATATGTTCCTGTACTAAGCAAATTTTCTTGCCATCATTCCGCCAAGCAATGGAGTTTAATGATTTTCATAGTTTGTACATAGTATTCACTATTTTAAGCCTTTTCAACAAAGTTATCATTTTATGTACATAATTGTCTTTGCACACAAGTGTGTCTGTGCACCACATGTTTGCTTGGTACCTGCAGAGATCAGAAGGAGCATGGGATCCCTTGTAACTGGAGTTACAGATGTGTGTGAGCCAAAATCTGGGTACTGAGAATTGAACGCAGGTCTTCTTCAAGGGTAGTACATGCTCTCAACAGCTTAGCAATGTCTCTAGCCCTTTGTATTCAGTATTTCAAGCAACCCAAAGTAGGTGACATCATTTTGAGAAAATCACATACATTATATGGAAATTCTGTGGTGTTTTGTGAAAGCGACTTGAGTTCCCACAGGCTTTGGTCCAAGGGAATTCTAGAAGCACTCTGCTGTGGATACTGAGGGAGTTGCTATAATCTGTCACAGCAGTATTAAGAAATTCCCTTCCCGTCCTGGCAAGTTCTACATTCACTGTTTTTCACTGTGTTTTTATCTCTAGGAAAATATGTTTTGGAATCATTTCTCAAAACTGCTACTACTCCTACCTCTTTTCTCTCTCTTTTTACTAAAACAGAAATAGTTTTGTGGTGGTCCTTGAAGCTCAACTTGGAGACTATTACTTTTTTTTTTTTTGCAAAAAAAAACACTCATATAAAAGGAAAACACTGTTTTCATAGTGAAGTTTTCTGTATTTCCATGTAAGAATTTATTTGTGAACAGATATTTTACTTTGATTGGATTTTAAGGCCCATTACTGAAACTGCTTGGTTGTCAAGAACCTGGGACTAGTTAGGCCAGGGACTTAGTGTAAAACCAAATACTACTGTTGTGTTAAAAGAATGCTCGAATAAAATGACTCCTAATGACATTCTGCTATACTCATAGATCAGTGCCTTGCTCAATCATTATCAAAGAAACATTTTTCTGCAGCAGATTGTAGCAATGGCTGAGAGAAATCTCAATAGCTACCTGTCCAGAGGTTTGCACCATACCTGGTTACGCCTCCTGGTCCAGGTCCCTGCAGGTGTTTGCTTGACTAGTGGTCTGGAACGGGTGCTAGATGTATTTTGTGCTA